AACAGTCCAGGTAGGAAGAATAAAACTGTGGAATAACAAAGGTAATGATAAATATATTATGAGCAGCCAGATAACAGCAGTTAAACTAAGGTAACTTCTTGATCACAACAATAGGTGACAGAAAATAGTGGAATAACATTTTTGATGTGCTGAAAGAAAGCAACTGCCAACTCAAAATTCTATATCCAAATAGAATATATATATATTTCCAGAATGAGGGAGAAATAGAGACATTTGAAACAAGCAGACACTGAGATATGTTGTTACCGTAAGACCTTTACTACAGGAATTTCTCAGAATATACTTCCAACAAAAGAAAAAGACCTTCCTAGAAAAAGACCTTCTTTGCCATTTACTTCTTCCTAGGAAGAAGTAAATGGCAAAGAACATGGCAAATATTAAACCAACATTGACTCTATAAAAAAAAAAAAAAAAAGAATACTGTCTGGTGGTGTTAAAAGGAAAAGAAAGAATTAAAATATCAAACAACAATAGCATCTATGCTGAGAAGAGGATACATGGATTAAAAATACTCTAAGGTGGGGCGCCTGGGTGGCTCAGTCATTAAGCGCCTGCCTTCAGCTCAGGTCATGATCCCGGGGTCCTAGGATCGAGCCCCGCATCGGGCTCCCTGCTCAGCGGGGAGCCTGCTTCTCCCTCTCCCACTCCCCCTGCTTGTGTTCCCTCTCTTGCTGTGTCTCTCTCTGTCAAATAAATAAAATCTTAAAAAAATATATATATATATTCTAAGGTAATATTTTGGAAGAGGGTAAAGGATTTGATTCGCTTTAGGCTTTGATAAGTATCAATGCTGTAATCTTAAACAAGGCACTAACAAAATTGAAACAAAAGGCATCACTTAAACCAGTGCAAAAAAAATATGGAAGAAAAAAATGAAAAGAAAAAGCATGACATATTTAGAGAAAAAGGCAAGAAACAAAAGAAGCATACACTGTGTTTCCATTTATATAAATTCAAAACCAGACAAAGAAAACTACATTTCTTAAGGGCTATAGATACAGGTGGGAAAATCATGAAAGGTTATAAAATACGGACTAAAATGCATTGAATTCTGGGGCAAGGGAAGAAGCTGGATGACATAGGGACAAATGGCAGAGGGTGAGGCTTCTAGAGGGCTGACAGAGTCTTGACTTGGGCAGTGGTTATGTAGGAGTTTGATTAATAACTTTTAAAATATACATATCTATTATACATTTTACTAAAAATGGTTTCTGCACTATTTTCCAATGACAATATTTTCAACATTTAAAGTAAGTTACAAATCAGAATATGTAAAAAATGATGAGAATATGAGCATCATCCTTTCCTTCATAATCCAGGAAATCCAGTAGTGACACCATTGGTTTTCAAATGCTCCTTTACGCAGGAGGGCTGGCCAGTCTTGACCAAACTTTCTCTGTTCCAAGGTGAAGTGAACAAAACAGAGACAATGTATATAGACATAGAAGGGGATAGTTTCCCATTTTGGTAAAGACTACTGCATTGCATTCTGAGGTTTTATCCTATCTAGATGTGGGATTGGGATATTTTATTTTATTTTATTTTATTTATTTATTTATTTTTTTTAAAGATTTTATTTATTTATTTGAGAGAGAGAGAATGAGAGACAGAGAGCAGGAGAGGGAGGCGGGTCAGAGGGAGAAGCAGACTCCCTGCCGAGCAGGGAGCCCGATGCGGGACTCGATCCCGGGACTCCAGGATCATGACCTGAGCCGAAGGCAGTCGCTCAACCAACTGAGCCACCCAGGCGCCCGAATTGGGATATTTTATGATGCCCTTTCTGTTAGAAAGTGACAGTGGTAGTAAGTGGTAGGTTACTCTGGAATGTCCTCACTAAAAACAAACAAAACAGAATGAGTCAGTCCTCTTTTTCCTTGAATAGGAGGTCACTGAGGACCCAAAGCCTATGAATCTCTAATTTACACACACCGGTGAAATGATTCTGTGTCTAGTTCCAGGAGGGGGCTGCTTTTGGTAGAAATCTGACTTGGCTGAAAATTGAAAGAATTTCAGTGAGAACGAAAGATAGTCAAACGTGGAATGTGGGATCAGGCACATCTTGTGACTTGCCATATTAAATGTGAAAGTCACAGGGTAAGGGCCAGTGGAGGAAGATGAGGGCCCCAGGAAAATGTATATGGTCATGCAAGAGATACCATCTAGAGCCCCAGATGGAGCAAGGGCTTTACTTTCAGAATTATTCATTGCTTAGACCCAACATTTATGCTGCCTATGCATACACAGTTCTCTTTTTGGAGACCAGATATGCTGGTGTTCCTTGAATCAATGTATTTTCTCTTCTACACCTGTCTGCATCAGTTCAAGTACAAAACCAATATGCTGTAAAAATACGTTATAATTCTATTATACCCTGTATTACATGCTATAGAATAGATTTATATATTTTGATATAGTATATTAGACTATCATAATTAACTTATTGCTACTATTTATTTTTTCTTTTATTAACTAATTTCATTCTCGATTGATTCTCTTGACAGATATCAGTATCCCCATTTTACAGATGAGGATTCTGAAGCTCAAAGTAGTTGAATAACTGTCAGCTCCTAAACAGCAAAACTGGAATGAAGTCCCCTGTGGTTGAACTTCAAAGCCCTGCTCCTAGCTACTTTGCTGCTTTGTCTTACCACCGCATTAACATTCAAAGATCATTCCTATAAAGATTAAAATGCCATTTACTCTTTAAACCACATTCTGTACTACTCAGTCAGTTTCTACTGACCCCTTGGAGGAAAGGACAGACTTTTTCCCAGAAGCACAATGAACAATACCAGGACATGTGTAAGGGGGTGCAAGGGAAATTCAGAAACTTGAGCATAAATCTCTTTCAAAATAAAACCACAGCATCTTTAATCAAGGCCTGGCAATCATCGTATCATTTCTCTGAGACTGGAATTGGTAAATGTGGGCTATCCCACTAGGCCTTTAATACTTGGTTAGAAATGTATCCAAGAAGTTGACTAGCACGACAATTCATGCAATACAAACATGAATCTGTAATTCTCTTCCCCATTACCACAAAACACAGTTAGTTCCTGCCCTGAATTCACTTTGAAGATGAGTGCCTGGGAGAAACCATAAGAGCATTGAAAATGGGGCCAGAAGTAATAAATGGGGACTGCCAAAAAACATTAACGAATTTCTTCTAGAAGCAAAATCTATTGTCAATTTACAACTCTGAAGATTGAACTGGAGGCAGGCAATTAGTGAGCTGCCTTGAAAGGTTTGCCTACAATCTAAAAAAGAGTTTTCTTTCACCTGTATAAAATTAGGCAGCTGATAATTATGTCTCCGGGTCCTGGGACGAGGAGATTAAAATAATAAAATAAAAATAAAGCGAATGCTTTAATTTGGAATCTAATCTCTCCCATTCTCCCAGAACATTCACACAAACGCTGCTCCAGTGGAATTCTTCTCACCCAGCAGGAGGAAGATCATCTTCTCAGCAGCCAAACTTGCCAGGCAAGCGACTTTTCCTCCCTTTCCTGACTCCCTTTTAGAACTCATTCAGAGGGAAGACAAAGGACCCGTGAGTGGATGGGAGTTGTTTTGTGCTTAGCCCTTAGGAGTACTTTATTTTTCTTAAAAAGATTATCTCAATCTTACTGTAGCCCCCAAATAAAAACAAAACAAAGGCTAGAACAAATTTCTGAGGCAGTTTAAATTAAAAATACAAAGGATTGAGATGTATTTTTAATTTATTTATAATTAGTTTACAGATTGGACCGCAGCGAGACTCCAAAATCAGCAAGCCACTTGGGGATAAAGACTATTGCAATTATCAGGAACAAGCCAAATGCTACCTTTTGTTCTTCTATTTAAAAACAAACAAACAAACATCTCCTAGCAAATGATTTTCTATTTCCTATTTAAAGAGGATTACATAACAAACACGACTAGTGGCTGGAAAGCAAAGAACTTTCCACCGTTTTATTACCTGCCAAATACAAATTAGTTCATTGTGGTTAACTCCTGCCAGGAGAGCCCTTTCCCTGCCACCCATCAGGACGATGGGGTATGGCAGGTTGGTTCCTGCCCGGCGTCCTTCCTAATCAGGAGGCTGTCAGACATGCTGCCTGTCCACTGTCTCCTTCATGGTGTGGCAGCTCTGGAGCTCAGGCAGCAAGGTTTTGAGCTCAAATTGCCCCAGTAACTACCTCAGAATTGCTCCTACTTACTGTCACTGTCAAATCTCTGTGGGCATATGCGAGGCCCTCCTCCAGGTACAATAGAGAAACCTTACAAATTTCACTTTATGTAATAACTACAGGATACAGAAATTGTATTAGTTCCATTAGACAGAGTCAGAAATATTCAGAAAGGTTAGCTGGATATAGTGATTATTGCAGTTAGACTAAGATAAAAAATCACTTTGTTAACTTAGAGTGTTTCCTCATTGGTAACACCCTATATTGAGGTGCCATTTATAAACAGTTTATTATTATTTATTAATGTATGAAGCACTTTATACCATGCTAGAAAACAACTTAAATTCATGTATTAAAGATGCACATACATGGTTTAATAGGATTTACGTCTTATAATATTCTTTAAAACAGCTTCCCATAGTCTCATCCGTTAAGCATTTATTACTAATGCATTTTATAACATACTTTATAATACATTATTTGAGCAAGTATCTGCATTTAGTGATCATTTCATAAATAAGAATAAAGCATTTATAAATGGCACCTTAATTTAAAGTGTTACCTTCACATTACTAGATAGCTGCTCACCATTCATCTCATTTTGTGATTATTCTCCAAATGCACCACTTAATAAAACAGACACTAAGTTCTATTTTCCCTTCATCTGATTAAAAGTTTATTGAGTCATTTCCTCCATCTGCTTTCAGTCGTTGGTAGCTTGGAGGCTTTAGTGTGATTTCTGATGAAACCAAACTTTTAATTCAATAATATTTCTGTGAGGATGATAATAGTAGAAGCAGAACTACCTACCATGCTAGACAGAGCCTGCTGCTTAGATTCTTTGTAAAATTCAAGTTTTCGACTGGAAAGAACAATCCAGGAAGTAGACCAGTTTTTCCTTAGGAAAAGAAAAAAGAAAAAAAAAAAAAAGCATTATCACTTGAAGAAATCATTCATAGATATTGTACCAGCAACATTTAGCATGAGTAGAGACTGTATTTTTAACTAGTCTTCATAAAAGTCTTTTCTTTATTAAAATCTATAGGTGGTATGGAATTTGGGTAATAATTAAGACATTCTGTAATTTTAAAAAATCATGGCATTTATAATAAACATTTCTCATTTGGAGATCCTCACAAAATCTTTTTCAAGTACTAAAACTCCAATTTTTGTGTATCCATGTCCCCTACTTCAGAGGCTGTTTCCACGGCAAGCCAAAAATAGCAGAGTAAAAACAGAAATCAGAACCCCTCCCTTCATTGTTACTTCTCTTCATTGTTTCAGTATATTTCAGAATCTGAAAAACTAACCAGCTAATGTGTCATTGCCTAATTAAAAAAAAAATTCTTTTTTTAGAGAGAGAGAGGAGGGAGAGGGAGAGAGAATCTTAAGCAGGCTCCATGCCCAGTGAGGAGCCCTACATGGGGCTCAATCTCACGACCCTGAGATCATGACCTGAGCCAAAATCAACAGTTGGCACTTAACCAACTGAGCCACCTAGGCAGCCCCAAAATATTTTTTTAATGTTGAATCTCACTATAAATCAAAGAAATGCAAATGAATACAGTGAAATGATTTTTCCCTCTTTGCCAATCAAATTGGCAGGAATTAGAAGGACTAATACCAAGGGTTACTGAAAGGGTGGAGAAATGGATTCTCCCATAGAATTTTGGTGGGAGAGTACACGAGTACATCTTCCTGGAGTGAATTTGGCAATATGCTTTTTTAAAAGAATCTTTTAAAACATGTTTGTTTTTTGACTAAACAAGTTCGCTCCTATGAATTTAAGTTTATCCTAAAGTAGTCATCTCATAAGTTAAGTCTGGGGGCACAAGAATGAAGTACACCATTATTTCTTAATTGTGCACCTATTAAAATAGATCTTAAAAGATTAGTTGTATAAATTGCATGTAAAAGGTTCCTATAATGAAATAATAAACCCTATGCTATAAAAGAATACTGATAGGGGAAGACTTTAATAAAGACCATAATACAACATGTAGTTTATTTAGTTCATTTGCCTAAGACTGTACCCCCCCCCACTCCGAGCCCCTTCTGATGATTAATTCTCATTCATCGGAAGTTCAAATATCATGTCCTAAAATGCCATCCATGACTTCCTTGCACAGCACTTACAATAAATGAAAAAATAATTTTTGTATATTTCACCTCTATCTCTCCCCATCCTAAAAAAATCCTCGAAATGATAAAGAGCATTTTCTGCTTCCAAAAGTATTCCCAATTGCCTAGCACAGAGGAAGCACTACATACATATTAACTGAGTCAATGACTGAACTTTAGGCATGGGGAAAAAGAGCTGGGTATAACAAGAGCTAAATCAGGTGATAAAATCACAACTTTTGATTTTCCTTTCTATTTCCTGGTGTTTATCAAATTTCCAGCATTGAACATGTATTACTTCAGCAGTTGTATGTGTATATTTGTGTTCTGAGATGCCCGCTTGTAGATGATAAAACACTAAGGAGATTAACATACTTAAGTTTCTATCCATTATATCATACTGCTGCAGTTGGTTTTGGTTTAACACTCACTTCAAAACAACTGAATTCATCTTATAAAAGTGGTAGAAAAAAAAGTTTACAGAAAGACTTTATTCAGGTCAATAAAAACCTACACAAAAATATGTTTACAATGACCATTGAGGATCTCTGTGTAGTTATTTCCACTTGCTTCTTAGAATTTAGGGGTTTGAGTGAAGGGACAGTTTTGATTCAGTAAAGTTAATATTTACAACAAGATTAGATTGCTCTTACATGCCTAAAGCTTTCTTAACCATGCACTATTGTGCTAAAAAAAAACCCAACATGATCAACAGAAACAAAACAAACAATATGTATATTCCAACATGCATATATGAACATTATGTTCTTGGACCCAATTGTCTTCAAATGAAGAGTCCCTTTTTCTGTCAAACAATGAAAAAGGTAGAAAAACAGCAACAACACAGAAAGCCACATAGACCTTTCCCCTCTTTCCCCCTAGAGCCCACTTCTCCTTTTAGGCAAAGGAGGTCGGGGTAGCCATAACCTTGTCTCTATGCAGGTCATAATATTAGCTGACCCCAGATAGAGAAAAGAAAAACATTGGAAGGACTGCTGGTCTACACTGGGCATCATTTATCTCTACCCCTTATTTTGACAGTGTGTGATCAGGGAATATGGAACACCCTCGGACTGATGGAACACATGTTTAACCTGCCTGTTATATTTCCCACTATATTTTTCATCTCCTGGCAGGGAGATACTATACCTTATTTGCTTCCAGTCTATAGCAAGCCCTGGATAAATGGTTCTGATTTGAATCTGTTTCAGATGTTGATCATTTACAGAATGTGTTGGCATTACTCTTCCCTTCCCTAAACTTGGAACTGGAACTGGTTAGAAATGAAGTTGCATGAAATTCAATTATCTCATGGTTCTTTGTTAGAACTTTGAACTGCTATGAAATGTTCCTTCATAGGTGAGTGTGATGAACAAGTCAAAGAGGGTAAGAACTGCAGGTCTTGGAACCTTAGTAATATGAATTGCTCTGACACTTTACATGTAGTGCTATTTCATTTTGAATTTATAAATTACAACGTCTCTATGGTGTTAGAATAAAAGTGAAGATTTTTCCAATTTGCTTAAAATAATTTTATTTCAAGAGGAAGAAGAAATACTGTCAACTTTTTAGATGCCCTAATTTCATTTCCGTTTTTTTCCATTCTCTTTAAAAATAAAAGTTAACATAAATTATTTTGAGTACCTACTAAAGTTTGATTGCCTAGTAGAAGTTTAGCTCCACAAAAAAGATAATGAAGATACTAATATGTCCATTTACTAATACAGAAAATGAGGTTCACAGAGTTTAGGTAATTTACTTAAGGCCAGTTAGATTTAGAGTCTGACTCTGAAGCCTATAATCTGGTCACTAATTTATGCTGTCCTTTTTTTAAGGATTAAGCATTACTATCTTGGCTCAGGAGATTGTCAATGTCAGATTTCACTATGGTTTTGGTTGAAATGCTCACATTATAAAAGCCAATGTACATAGCCCATGACAAAGTAGAAGCCATGTAGGCTTCCCTATAAACTATTTTACCTGATGCTAATTGAAAGGACAGAACAAAGGCCCACCACTTCCAAACTCTCCACTTCCCTTAGAAGTTGCACTGATTTAAAGGAGTCATGCAAACGACCATTCAACTCCTCAGAAGAGGCTGGAAGTAGGGGGTGTGCTCCTAATGATGGTACCTCTTGTCTCTTTCCGGCTAGGGAATTCTGGTCTGTGATGAGCAGACTCACCTGCAGTCAGTGAAGATCATACAACCAGGAATCAAGGAGTCAAAAGCCTGTAGTCTAAGAGTGGCTGAGAATTCACTAATGGCAACAACTTTTAACCTATGACTTAAGTCAGAACCTGCCTCTGTGAATGAGGTGCTCTGGGCCTTTGACCATTCTCGTTACAGTATCTGTCTGGTTCATTCCCCGTCTGATGGGTTTGGCTTGTGCGTCCTGTCGTTGTCAGGACACCACTGGAAGAGCTCCCTCACCTCGTTACTGTAACACAGGAGCTGCTTGGATGACGCTGTCAGCTCTGGAGAGAGTTGTGAAAAGGGTCAGTTGGCCAAGTTTGGGGCCCTGACTTGAACCTTTAAGGCTTTCTCTCTGCAACCGAATCCTTATAGGTGGCTATTGTCCAGTATATTGAGAGACAGCTCAGGAAGCAAGTTACTCCTGCAAACTTTAAGGGCTTAGCCGTAACAGGGAAGTCTCATGGTTTCTGATGAGACTTTTAAAATAGACCTTTCAAGGATGAAGCAGTTTTCAGAATGGAGAGAAAGTCCTTCTACTCCCCTATTTCTTCTCCAAAGAAATAGACATCATCCCTAACCTCTTGGAGCTTTTTCACTTCTGAGAAAAGTATCTGACATTTAGTAGGTGCTCATTAAAGGTTTTTGAGCAAAAGAATATATGGACTCTCAAATTTCAGAAGGGTCACACCGCTAGATTTTTCCTGCTCTGTGGTTACTGTTATTCACTAACAAGCACTACAAAAGCACGAATCTCCTGTATTTCTCTTCTCTGTTCCTTAGTTCCCTCGTGTTTTGATATGTCATTCCTAGTACTAAACAAAAACAAAAACAAAAACTATTCCTTCTGGTTTAGTATATTTTCTTCTAATTTATAATTCTACTGACAATACCTGAGCTTTCTCCTGAGGTCTTTCTGACCTCTCAGACGTGTGTCAGTAAGATGAGCTCTTATGCATGCATTTGTCCCCACTCTGTGCTAGGGATTCCACTTGGTATTTTGGACGTGTCAAGTAATTAAAACGCAAAGCCGGTCACCAGTGTCTATTGAGCACCCACACAACACTCACAAGTCCAGGACTGAATATATAAAGGCAAATAAGAGAGACCTCAAGGAGTTTTCCTTTAATTCAGGGGGACACACTCAATGAACATGGAAACACATGGCGCTGGGAGGTGGATGATACCTCATATTACAGATGAGCAAACCGAAGCTCTGTGAGTCTACATCCTACCCAAGGGCATTGAACTCATAAATATGGGAGTCAAGCCAAGTCTCCTGGACCCTGAAGACCACATTCACTCCGCTGTATCAGTTATCTCCAGAGCAGTTGGCATGCAGCTCTCCCTGAGTCATTTTGAGCATGTCTATGCAGAGCCTCAGTGTAGGCTCTGAGAAAGGAAGATAAAGAACTTTTGTCAAACAAGCACTTAAATGTCTTTCTCCTTGGAGCCAGGCCACTTCTTAGCCTGACTTGGGATGTTGCAGGCCCTTTCTTCCCTACCTACCTTCCCATGATGGCTAGCAGGTAAATTTATCCATTGGTGGGGGCCAATTAATGCCTCAGCAACTCATCATCTAAACT